CCCATGATCACATGATCATAATTCAGATGCTTGGCACCTGGTTCATATTTATGATTGTTAACAACCTTTCCTCCATGAAAAGTTGTGCATCGTCCTCATATGCCCAGTTGATTGGGAGGGTGTTAGAAATTCTGTTTATATAAAGCATCACATGGAGCAAACAAAGGGCACAGTCACCATGTGCTTTACTGCTCAACTATATTACTGTTAAGAGGATACAGGAAACTCTACTTAGAACGAAAGAGCATAGAGTGTGTACCATAGATCCAAACTTGTAAATAGTGCCATCTACTGGTTGAATACTACTGTGGTTGTTGCCTAGAAATACATTCTAACAATGAGTTCCAACAGTGGGGCAATCTTGCAGAGAGAAGCTTTGCTTCCGGCTCATTCATGATCTCATGTTTCCTTTGCCTTGCAGCTCTTCATGCTGGATAATGCCCTCACCGATTGGCGAATTGCAGTCAGCACTCCGAAACTGGCTTTCATCATGCTTGAGTTTTTAGTCTGCTCCCTTCACCCTTTCCCGGTGGGAGATTTCTTTTGCCTAGATCCAAAGCCGGAACAGGACTACGTCTTCCTCTCGGATGTTGACATGTTACTCTCCCTGGTGATGTTCCTTCGCCTCTATCTGGTCCCTCGAGCCGTGCTACTGCGGAGTAGCGTGCTGGGAGATGCCTCTTACCGCAGCATCGGGTCGCTCAACAAGATCCACTTCCAGTACCCTTTCGTGTTACGGGTGATGGTCAACAGCCAGCCGGGCCGTGTGCTGCTCATCTTTACGATGGGGCTCTGGATCATTGCTTTTTGGGTACTGTCCGTCTGTGAACGGTGAGGATCCTCCTGTGTCCTTTCATAAGTAGATCGTCAGAACTGGGTTCGTTTTTTATTTTTTAAAATAGCCCACTTTCCCCCAGTCCTGGAAAGAGAGCCATTCCTGTCTTAGCAGAGTTTCTTTCTTCCTTTGAGGACACCCTAATGTGAAGATATTGAAATAGATCTGATATAAAAACAGGCCCACCAGGTAGACCAGGCCAAGGATTCAACTCCACAGGTAGTAATAATTTTATGGTGAATGGCTACAATCAGAGAATTTTGCAAGTCTGATTGTG